ATATTTTTCCCTAATATTTTACACCACCACCAAGTATAAAATAAACGCTGATTTATATGAATCAACGTGAGACGTGCACTTCAAGCTATACAATTCTAATTTAATTATCTATCTTTACTTAATTAATATACTCACAATAACGCTGTTGCCACTGCTGTGTTCATTTTTTCCTGATTGTCTGCTGGCCCGTCTTGAATTTGTCCGTTGATTCCGGAGTCGCCTTGGTTGATCAGACCTCGACTTTACCTCCGTGGAGCTGCTGACGTGCTGTAGCCGCTGCGTCGGGACTTTATCTCCGAAGTTGAATGTAGCCGCCTTGACTGCTGGACTCGCCTTTGAAGTTGAAATCCGCTGCCTTGACTGCTCGACTCGCCTTTGGAAATTTAACTCCGCCGCTTTGACTGCTCGCCTTGTCCTCAGCTCTTTGAACCTCCTGTACTCGACTGCGCCAGTGTAATAAGCCTGGATGCTTGGTACCTACTTTCGTAGTACTGACAGTAGATAAGTGGCACCCAGGTTATTATTATTGCAGGTCGCAGACACTTTATTTGATGTTGTAGTCGTGGTAGACAATGAATGATAAGACAGATGTAATTTATTGTGAATTTTTATTATAACATTCGATAATTTTCCTAAGTCCAAATAATATTCAACAGAGTGGCGTGAAGGTGCTTGCACTAATGGGTGGTAGTACACGTCTGAATACAGGTCGATTCGGGCTCCCTTATATATGAGGTCCCCCGTACCCTTTGCCTACATATACGATATCTCGGTTCTCACGGATGTGATTTGTTGTGGACATTTATCCGGCCTACGCATTTTTACGGCTGCGTGTATTTCTACATTATGATTATTATAAAATAATCTTTTTTACTCTTTTATATTTTGATTTCGTCGTATTCAGTTTTTCTGTAAAATATTTCATCCGATTATTTTTTAACCCTCGTGTCTTTTATGTTCCCTAATCTCCCGGTTATGCCGGTCCACCATATAGTATCATAACTATGCACCTGTGGAATTTGTTACTGTCAAATGTTACTACGCCTAATTCCGAATCCCGATTCATCGTATATTATAATAATAACTATGTACTTATGAAATTGGTATTACTCCGTAGTAGCTGGCTTACTACACTTGTGTACAATGCATACTGTCCAGCAGTGTTGGGGAAGTTACTTATTTTTGGTAATTAAATTACATTACTAATTACTTATCAAAATTGTAACTAAATTATTTTTAAGTTACTTTTTTTTAATTTGGTTAAGTTACATTACTTTTGAGTTTAAAAATAGAAGTTACTTTTTTCAAAAATATCACTGGAGCTTAATAATCATGTTGTCAATATAAGAATACATAAACTAAATAGATAATGACAATCAAAAATATGAAATTATTAACGGATGATACTTTTCTTGCAACACTATTATTATTATTTTTTTTATTGAATTTAAGCCCGGCAACTATGGTCATTGGCCATTAGCTGTTGTAGGGGATTATGAACTGTGTTTGGTAAGGTGTTGTTACGGTTTTTACGGTTGTTACGGTATCTATGCAAACACGTGTTAGTTTTTACTACTACGAATCCGGGCGGTCACCCATCCAGGAACTAGTAGCAGCGGGCGTAAGTTACTATCAGTCGTATTGCCAAGTCACACATTTATTTATTAATTAATTTTTTTTTTTTTAACTAACCCTCAGAAACGTAGAAAATTGGGTGGTTTTTAACCGTGGGGGAGGATACTGTAGGTTTTTGTAAACACGTGTGTTTAAGCTTGGCAGAATTTCAAATTGGGCACCCGTAGGTGCCATGCCCGGTCGAGGGATGGCGGCCTCTCTCTCCAGACAAGTGTCTGCCGGAGAGAAGTTCAGCCCGTGACCGAGATTCGAACCGGCGAATTTATTGATAGTTCCAACAATGCTGTATGAGCCTTCCTCGACGATACAACACAGAGTAAAGATAAGAATTCCATTCTAAAAGTAACACTTTATAGTCGAATAGCCAATAGCTATAACAAAAATATTACAGTTTAGACAATTTTACCTATAAATTAAAATACTTATAAGTTATATTATGATATATTTTAATATTTACCTACACACAATATTATCAATATGTTCTAAAGAATTTAATAATCCAAAAAAAAAGTAGCGAGTAGGTAATTTAATAAAAATTACTGCAAAAAGTAACTTAAATTACATATAAGTTACTTACAATAAAATGTAATTAAATTACCATCAAATTACTTAAAAAGTAATTTCGCTACAGCAGGGCTGCAACTCAAATAATGAACTAAAAAAGTGAGAAAAGTGATCAATTTTTTTTTTTAGGTGACTAAAAGTGACTATATTTTTTTTAAGTGATAAAAAGTGACTATCTTTTTCTTAATAAAAAACTATTTTAATAAACTAACAAAAGTATATTGCTCACTTGCATTTTATTTTATATATTAATAATAAAAAGTAATAATAATATCAACTCATTTGATATCTTATGAATTAATAAAACAACATAAATATAATATTTATAATAGGCATTTGCCATGTAAATATGTAATAACTGCAATATAGATACTACATTTAAATTATAATTTAAGTATAAATTAATTATTGTAAGGAAAATATTTTTCTTTTTTTAGATAATTTTTTTTTTAAAATAAATTATTTAAGATTATTGAATAATGATTACAACATACTATAATGCCATAAACTCAAAAAAAGTCATGATAATATTATAATACTAGCTCTAAGTGTAACTCGGGGCCGGTCGGACTCGCTGGCAGTGGGTACCGATTTTGGAGACAATGAATAATAAAAGTCGCAAAGGTTGTAAGATGAAAGTTTAGGATTTGTGATAAGGATTGGAGATAAGGCTAGACGCTTTGGCGGGAATGTTAAAAGTTTGAGCGTCTAGCAATCCGTCACAAACGTTGTAATTAGATAGACTGGATACGATCTCCAGGATCACCTATATAGAGTATACCTGCACATAGAGTGGTATGTGCCGTAGCATGACCGGTGCTTTATCTTATGTAAAAAGTGTAAAGTCGAAAACCGTGTTGGAGTTTCTAGCAAGTCAGTCATCTCAAGTCAAAATCTATTAACTTTCAAGTTAGCCACTCCATGGTATTGATGGTTACTTAAAATACGGTTGTAGATCATGAGATTACATAGGACCATAGCAATAGTTGTACGTGGTTGTATAGATGCTTTAATCGTGCATAGGATATAATTTTATCAAATTTTCATTGGGTATCGTCACGGACTTAGTCTGTGGGTATCGTGTTTTAATCATAGATAATATTATATATATAATATCTAATCAGTTTAATTATACTTCCTAATGATTATTTAAAATATGAGAGACCATTATGCCGCACCATTATCAAAGATTTTAATCACGGATGTATCACGACTATAATGGTACAATACAATATATTATATATATGCGAATATTGTAAGGGTAAAATTAAATTAACAGAATTTTAAAAATTACTTGATTAAAATTATTTTTGGTTTCTTTCATGAAACATTATAATAAATGGCTATAAGTGAGAAAAGTGAGAAAAGTGACAGTTTTCGAAATATAGTGACAAAAAGTAACCAAACCAAAAAAAAGTGACAAAAAGTGAGAAAAGTGACAGAGTTGCAGCCCTGCTACAGTAACTTGTAACTTAACTTAAGTTACTCCCCAACACTGCTGTCCAGTCACAGAATAATTCTGTGGTTCAGTATTCACTCGATTCACTCGTGATAGTATGGGGAGGGTATGCGGTAGTGGTGAACTAGTAAAGGCGGCGCGGCGGGTCGCCGCCGAGTCCTGGTTGGGAATGTAAATTGTCAACATTTCCAGGATTTATAAAAATAGAAACTATATTTGTTTTTTCTGATACGAGTTACTATAAATTATAGTAGATAGAACTATCCTATATCATACTAGATCATTACTAAAACAATTGGTATATTTTACTTAATTATAGTACTGGTAATTATAAACTTGCAACTATAATACTATATATTCTTATTAATATCTACTAAACTCGTTAAGCAGTGGTTACTACAATATAGTTATACTAACTTTAATATTTTTAACTATAAATTTATAGTTTATATTTTTTTCCGTGAACAAGGCAGTTTTATTAGAGATATAATTAAAAAAGCAGTTAAGTGGGTGTTGTTCTGCTGTACAGTACCTATGTTACAAGTGGGTCACTGTAATGGATAATGTTAAATCATTCTCATTGTAGGTATACGAAAAACGATTCTTATCGAAAACGGTCGTCGGTCAGTAAGCCTATATAATATTAATAAAGTATATTTTACTATTAGACATTACTACAGCAGTAGGTTAAATTCATTTTTACCAAAAAAATTACATTTCAAAATGTAATTGTGTGTATATAAACTTCGGACGCTCCTAAAAAATTATTGTAGATTTAAGCTCAATATTATTTTTTTATAACTATCAACAACTTTTAAAAAGTACATTTTAAAGTTTTGCAATCTAGCAAAAATTGTTTTAACGACAATAATTAAAAAAAATCATAATATTTCAAAAATGTTAGGGTGCATAGAAATTCCTAATGTCAACATGTCAAACTGTCAAAATGTCATGCATTTAAAGTCACCTATTTTTTTTAAAATACAATAAAAAACTGGTAATACATAAAAATCTCAGTTTTTCCTTAATTTTTCGTTTGTTTTTCCCGACGCTTTTGAAAACTATTGGGAATATTTTACTATTTTTAAAAGATAAACTTTAAAATATGATTTTAGAGGAGATGACACGGTTCTATACTAGGTATTTATTTTACTTTAGTTTATTCATTAAACAATTATGAAAAAACTAAATAATTAATGAACTAGACTTAAGATTTAAATGGCACACATTATAACAATAAGGATTAGTGTGAAATCGGTTCACGTCGTAGGTATCTACATAAACCACACAACATATCATAAATTTGTATACCATAATACGTACACAAGGACAATAATAATCATCACAATACGATTTCGGTGTACAGCTCGTCACAGCGCTGTATCAGTTTGGCGATGGGCAGGACGTTGTATGGAAAAACGTGGTTCTCGTGAAGCCGCAGCATCTTCAGTCGGAGCCTGATCAGCAGCACCATAGCATCGTCCAAACCAGAACCGCAGCTTTGGAAGAAACACCGGGCGTCCCGGCAGGCAGTCTTCAAAATGCGAAGAGCGTACGGCAGGAAGTTACTCTCTTCGGAAATGAGATAGTCTAACAGCACGTCCGGTTCGTACGTCACGCACTCCAGCAGCTCGGCAAAGCTAGAGAACGGGTCAAGCAGGGACCAGACGGCGGGCACAGCATCCGCGACGTCCAACGCACACGTCAGACACTCTATGGTGGCGTCATCTCTGTCGCACATCAAGCGGACTGTCCATCGACAGAACCCAACATCAGTCGCGTACAACATGCTGGCTTTGACGTACGAGTCCAAACATTCAACAACATCTCTAATCATCGTTACCGCAGCGGCGTCTCCATCATTTTCGGAACCGAGAAGCTGATTGTTGCCACCGACGAACGCATGCAACGACCGCATCGCCAGCAGCACTGTTTCCTGCAACAAGATCCGCGTCCTGTCGTTTTCCAGCCCATAACTGCTCGACATTTTGCACATGAAGTACAACATCCGCCTACGAGTGAAGCCGGTCAGAACACGCTCGGCCATGGCCACTCTTCCGGCCATCCACCAGTCGTCCATCGGCTGATCCAGGCACCTCTGCAGACTGGCGCCGAACAGTCGTACCGTGTTCAGCCACACCAGTGGTTCTGTGTCAGTCCGATACAATAGCCACTCCAGGCTAGGCAGTTCCGAATAGAACTGTTCGCGATTCCGGCAAGCCGAGCCGGCGAACCGGAACAAGCGAAACACAGCGGTCCATAGCCCGACGATATCAGCCAGACCGTTGTTGTGGTAATCGGTAGCCACAATTGTTCCATTTTCACGCACCATGGCGTGAACGATATCCAACCACCGACCATTCAACCTATCCAACAATAGCGTCTTGGTGTCACGGCTTTTCGTAACAGCGGTAAAACGGCCTGCTTCATCACCATCGTGGCAACAAAATGTTTCCACAGTTGAGATCCGAGGGTAGTTGCAAGTGACGTCTAGCAAGCGCGTTAAGACGTTGACGGCTGCGGCACTCGACCGTCCCACCGTCGTCGTGATTGTTAGCAACAGCCCGTCGATCATATGTGCTAGCGAATCACCGTGGGCGTCGGCGCAGCCCAGTGCGGCTTCGGTGGCCACGCATGTGGCAACGTACCTAACATGGTCATCCACAGATGCCAACATGGCCAGCAATTGGTCAAACCACAACGTGCTGGAGAGCGTCGCCAAACACGCGCGCTCTACTTTCGGACAATAGTCTGAGTCTGCGACCGGGTGCTGCTGCCTGCGGTGGCGGCGCATGGATAACAGTAGACGCATCGTGCTCAGGTGAGCGATCGTGTCGGACGGAGACGAGTTTACTTCCGTAGGAAACGCGACCAGCCACTCGTATTCGGCACCGGTCAACGGGCACGCACACCCGTTTAATAGATGCCATTCGATCGTTTTTGATGATCTAGAAAAAAACAAATGAATACGTTTCGAATGATTATTGAATATAATTATATAAAATGAAAACCTTTATTATATTAAATATAGGTATAGTAGTAATAATAATTTATAAATTATACAAGAGTATTTGTTTTAACTTTAAGAATACGCCACACCCGCTTGTGTTGTCTCCGTCTTACACACGTACGATAGACAAAACGCGTTTACGCAGTCTGAGTATAAATCGCTCAATTTTAGTTCTAGTGTAAAAATAACTATAATAAAATAAAATTGTGAAAATATTTCTGGGGCAAGTCGTTGCGTTTTTTTCATTATACCATACGTTCATTATATCGTTTAGAAATATCAAAAATGTCAACATTTTTTAAACACCTTTAAATTTACAAAATTTAAATTTTTTTAAAAAAACTCAACTTCTTGCCCTCCAAAATATTGTCATCTTTTAATTTTGTTATAGGTGTTTTTATTCCAAAATTGAGCGAGTTCTGCTCAGACTGCGTAAACGCGTTTTGTCTATGTCTTAAGAGTGTAAGACGGAGGATACCACATGAGGGTGTCACGTCCTCTTAAACTATAGGTATATAAATATATAACAGAGGATATTCAAAGACTTCCACTAGGCGATATTATGATATATTATGTAAATAACAAGAAACGACATTTATAATTTTTTGGTCATATTTAGTCTTTTTATGATATATAGCACTATTTTGTAACTTAAGTAAAACGTTTACATATCTAAATTATATGTACAACAATAAAAAACTTAATAAACATTATTGTAACTTGCTTTATAATTATTTAAAATCAAAAAAATAATTATTTTTAAAACATGGCTTTTATGAGTATATTTTACAGCACATTTATTCATTTTTGGTGCATTTATTTATACATATTTTGTGATTTTTTAATACATCATATAAATTCATGACCGACTAAATAACCATTAGACGTACTTATCGAGAATATCATTCAATATAAAAAAACCGGTTATTCATTATGCCGAATAATAGGTGTCGACTGTAGATTGTAATTGCAAAATTGGATGAGTTGAATTTGAATCCAATGATAAATCAATGATGAAAACGATGAAAACCAACAATTCCTTGCAGAGACATTTTAAGTAAATAATAATATTTAGATATTTATGTCCCTAATTATATTTCAAGAACTCATGTTACTACTAGTCCTTCTAACGTATGAATCCGTTATGATTGAGATGACTTTAAGCTTGCTAAAATTGTTGAAGTAGTGTCAAGCCGTCAGCCTTGTACATATTTTATTTATATATTACTTACTGTATTTGATTATACAGAATATAACTATTTGTTTATCTAAATGAAAAAAAGGCAGCTAATATATAAAAACAAATTATGTTTCCCTGTTATCGAAAATGCTCCACACGACCACACTGGGTGACTAAAATATTTCACTGCACAACAATTATGTTGCCTAGAATATTAGGTAGTTAAAATTACACTATTGAACTAAATATGATCTACTAAGGTCTTGACCATTTATCTATTTTTTTATAATTTGTCTAATTGACAGAATTAATATAGTATTGAGAATGTCAAAAATAATAAATAGTCTGACAGTAATTTATAACAATACATTCTGAATAACATATTAAATACAATTTATACCTTAACTATGATATACATGATTTGAAAAATATTTATATACATTTGTTTAAATAAAACTGTTTGATGCAAATTAATAACATATATCATATAGGACTACTAATAGCATTACCTTAAGACAAAATGTATAAGTAAAAAGGTGCTGTGCTGTACAGTAGGTTACAAGTGGGTCACTGTATAATGGATGGTATTAAATTTCAATTCAATAATATAATATCATTGTATAAGATATATATAGTAGATATTACAATATACTAGGAGCCTTCTATTAAATTTTCAAGCTTTTTTAACCAACAAATAAAATTTTATTGATATTTTTAGAAAAATAATTAAAAGAAAATGGAAAATGAAAATGTCCCTAAACAGTTCAAAATAAATCAAAATATTTTCTTGTATAGAAAATGCAAATATAAACAACCAGTGAAAATTGCATGTACCTACGGTCATTTGTTTTAAAGTTACACCAAAAACCAAATTCAATTAATTGGGTAAGAATTCCCGTTTTTCCTTAATTTTTCTTTGGTTTTTCTTGGCGCTTTTGAAAATTACTGGGAATTTTAAATTTTGACCACCCCAACGATATTCATTTTCCAATCGAACAAGATACTGAAGTTGAGAATTGAAGCATTATTTCGACTACTTATCGTGTACACAGACACAAAATTTAAAAAAAATCACACATCATTGTAAAATCAATACATTCATCGTTTCACTCAGAATCTAAAATACATTTTTTAATTTCTTAGTGGATTAGAAACAGAAAAATAATTGTTTTTTTTTTTTTTAAATATAGTATTCAGTATTTATATCTATAGTAATAAAATTAACCATAAATAAATAAAAATAAAAGTTAAGCCAAAATCATATTTATTTTCTGATTTTTAAAACACATTACAGTGTATGGTCTGTTATCATATACATTTAATGATCTCTCTATTTAACAACATAATAATCTGTCATTATTATTGTTAGTATTTTTTCCACCCGTTGTCATTATCAAAGTAAATTCTATATTGTTTATCATAACATTTATTATTTCCATACAAGAATTCTTAAATAATATTTTAAATGAGTAGAAGACTATTATACTAAGTCAATCTGTGTGGTTTCAGGGTAAGAGCCCCTAGTATCAATACAAATTCATAGTTTTTATTCAGAAGTTTTATTAATTCATTTTACAAAATAAGATGGTATTGCTTGAATTTTACTACCCTGTGGAGATTTTTAAAATTTGTATAACATAAAACTAAATAAAACAACATTTTAACACATTTTATGAAATATACCTTTAAAATTTATACCCGAACAAACTATTTAAATGCACCTATATAATGAAAATCTTAAATTTAGTAAAATAAATGAAGGTTATTATGAGCATATAACATGATTGATGATTATAATTTCTAGTTCATTTGTAATTTTTTTTTTTTATTTTATACATAAATAAATCAATATTTGTACAGATGAGATTGCAATTTAATTTCAAAACCATATTATAATGTAAATAATGATAAATAATTGCATACAAAATATTATTTTTAATTAAAAATTTATATCACTTCCCTTTAGTTCTTAATGTATTTCATCTTGACAACACATTTTTTACCATTGGTAACTTGATAATTTTAACATGTATCTTGAGTTAACTAGACAATCTGTAATAAAAAATATAAATTACCAAACTTTAAAATTCAATAACAATCGTTCTCCGGTCAATGTTACTCTTTAGTGGTTATCACTTATCACTATTTATACATAAATATTACACAAATAAAACTGTGAGTCTATTCTTCTGGGTGACGACTATTTTTGTGTTTACTTTATTGACAACTTTTAGGTAGTATGTACAGGGCTGCCACTAGAGTTTAAATTTGAAAATAGTTGATAAAGTGACTAAAAAGTTAAAAAAGTGACCAAAATGTTTTTAAATTTTAACCAAAAGTTAAAATTATAAATTAATATTTTAGATTATTAAGTTGGATGTTAATTTAATTTTGGATATCATTCATTAGAGGATGAAAATAATGAAAGAAATAAAACCATACTATTATTTAACCAAAATATTTTTAATTTATTCTTTTATACTATAGTAATAGTATACATAACAAACAAATAACATATTTCATGTTAATAAATTAAGATTTTTCTTAGTAACAGTGTTTTTTTAATTGTTGCTTCAAATACAGATAGGAACAAGTAGTAATTTTAATTTGGTTATGTTTAAATTCAAGCTTAACAAAATTAATACGAAATATTGTTTTAATAATTGTTTATTGAATATATCAGTTGTGGTATACAAATACATTGTCTATTGTTGATTATATAAATAAAACACGGTTGCAGAGCTACAATCATGGTTTACAATAAGCCATATATAGAGGCGGAACTAAGAATTTTTAAGCCAGGGGAAAATATTAAAATTACGCCCAATCATAGACCAAGATTGAAAATATAATATCTTTCCCTACAACTATTTTATAATAACTGGAACTAAAATTACAAATATACTTATTGGCTTTCAAAAAATTTAAACACGTAATAATATATAATAATTAACATATTCTGTGGACTGTGGTGTAATCAAGTTTATACTAATAAACTCTATATAGAAAAAGATTCAGATTTAACTGATTAACAAATTTTCAATGAGTCGGACTAAAGGACCTGCAATAGTATATACCTAAATATTTTTCAAAATTTGAGTGGCTAAGAACTCAAATTAAAAATTAACCAACATTAATTTGGTTAATTCTTTATAGATGGCTTAAAAGGCAATAATTTATGAATAAAAAATGAGCTTATTATTTTCCTCAGAGTGGATTTTATAAGAAAAAAAAATGTTGAAAAATAATCAAAACTTTAATTACCTGTCCTGTATAAAAATTAAAAACACTTTTGCTGTTTTGGTTCTATGCGCCTCAGTCCTCAATTATAATAGATTTTTATGGTGAAATATAAAATCTTTTATTCTGATTAAGGTACACAATTTAGGCCAGTAAAAATTAATTAAACAATTTATAAAAGAAAATATTTAAAATCAAATCTTTTTTTGAAACTTAAATAAATGTATAACCATCCTGGTAAATATTACAATACATAATATTATAATCTATCAACATAATTTTTAATATACAGATATAATATATCGTACGTTGATTGATTATCTCTCATAAAAGCTATTTTGTAGGTATCAGAAATTTGTTACCCCTAGTTCCGCCACTGGCCATATAGAATATTAAAATTATCAGTTTAATATAAAACATAAAATATTCATATATAACTTTTTTTTATCAATATCATGATTTTATACATAGATTTATACAAAAAACGCTGATTTTAAGAAAACTGTCAATCATATTTTAAAAAGTGAGTTTTAATAAAAAAGGGGACTTTTAAAATTACAAAAAAAAAGTGAGTTTTAGTTGAAAAAGTGACTTTGTGGTACATAGGGTATCACTAGGACCCAGATCTTGATGCATTTGCATCTTTTTTTCTAATGAGTACATTCGAGGTTCATCTTTACAAAAATTTGATTCATGGAATATAGAATTTAATAATACTTTTTTTTTGTTTTTTGCATTTTTAGGGAAATTGTTACTTGACTGCCATTTTTTAGTATTATTGGTACATTTTATTCATTTTTGTACTCTTTTTTTTTTCATATATTTGCATTTTTCTTGTCAAAAGTTACACTTTATTGTAAACATTCAGTTTCCATTAGCTTGTTGATTATCCACGTGCTTTATCTTTGTTGTCGGAATCTACGATTATTTAATAAACTGTAGGCAGATACTATTTTAGGCCCGGTCAATCAGAAAAAATGTCCAATTATCAGAATACATTTTTATGTCAATCAACTTATTTCAAACTGCGAAAAAATATTTTTGAAGGCTCCTTCAAGAGTAAATATTATTAAAGAGCTAGCACCTATAATAATTATGATTTATGATACATGAGCTCAGCAGTATTAGCAGTATTTTCTCCCACCTAGTGCACAAATACGGCAAAGCTTCAAACTACTTAAACTAACGTGAGAGAGAGACAGGTTTGCAGGATAACGCGAGAAGTGGCAGACGGGATTCCAGATTTCATAATAATTTTTCATTAAAAAGTTTGCATTTTTCGTTTAATAAGTTAGTTTCTAACTGTATAATTTAGATTAATTTTACAAAAGGATCATCTGCACAATTTTTCTGATGTTTTGCAATTCAATAGGTATTGATTGATTTGGTAGATAATTTTAATACCGTCTGACAAAAAACACCAATACTTACACAATTACATGGTTTAAATGGTAATTTCACTTAGAAATAATATACACGGTCATTCTGTCGCTATTATTATTACTTAGCTCGTATCATGAATATGACACTCGATTATATTATACACTTTCTGCTATGTATGTTCATATGTACAAAAACAGTACAAAGTATCCACATTTTGCATTTTAAACAATGAATCGTTAAAGTGACGATAAACCATCTTATTAAGTTTTTTTGCAACAGTAGTAGTAGTTAAATAAATTATAGTTAAATTAAAATAAAGCATTGTACACACAAATGTTTAATTTAAACACGACACAGACTACTAATCATGTTATTATTATAAATAATATGGGTACTTATAAACAAGTTTAAATATATTATATTATATATAAAATAATAAATTTAATTATATTTATAATTCTATTACTTTATAAATGTGTTAAACTGTCTCTTAAAATATTATTTATCATCAAACAGTTCTATACAAATATTTATTTTATACACTAATTTGCTCCATAACATTCTAATTATGATATAAGGTGTCAATCGTTTTTATAGTACTTTTACATATCAATTCTTGATTTCAAATATAATGTATTATTCAATTCCGAATGGTTTATTGTATACATTAGCATAACTATACATATTTTATAATGTTTATGTGTATCTATTGTATTTTAAATGGTTTACAACCGCTATTCCTCATTGTTTTTGAAGTGTGATGAATGATGATTAACAAAATACAAATGTATTATGATACATTATTTACTTTGTCTTCAAACTAATCTATCTAACTAAATTATCTTTTTTTTTAGCCCAAAGTTAAATTAAATAACGACTACATAAGATTTTACCAAAGGACGTAACAGTTCTTCAAAATAATACTGTAAGACAGAACTTCATATTACAGGAGCATATATTTTAATTTAACATGACAAGTATTATGGTTAAATTATTCTTTGCTATTAAAATTTGCCTTTATATTTTAAACTAATTAATTATTTAATAATTAGTTTAGTAATGCAATTGAAAATCTGTCTGTAACAGAATTAAAATAACTAAAAAAAATAAAATTATATTTAAAGTTTAAAACAATATATACTTAAGTATTTCAATAGGTAAAGTATTGTTAGTGCATTTCCATTGTAAAATTAAAATATGATGAAATAGGAACAGTCAGTTAACTTTAAAATTTACAATAATTCCAAAGCATTTATTTAAAAAGTGGATAAATAAATAATACATTTGATAAATTTAAATTTAGAAATTAAAATTATCTTTAAAGTGCTCATAACCATTTAAAATACTTTTATTTACTCGTCATTGAATAGACTATATTTAACTAACACTTACGTTTCATCATCACTATCATTATTGCTGACTTGATTATTTTGTATGACAGCTGAATCTGCAATATCATTACATTCTTCAGAGTGGTCCGGTGTACTTTTCACTAGTTCTTTAAGAAAATCAAGGCGGCTATCAGAATAAATGCATTGTTTTCTAAAAAAAAAAAAAACTAAAAACATCAAATAAAACTAAGAAGTATACAACAGTATTTAAAATACTCACAAGTGGGCAAGAGTAAGAGTCCTTGCACTTTTTTGCATCGTGACATCACCAGCTTTGATTAATAGAGATGAAACAAAAAGTTCCAATGCTCGAGGTATACTTATCATTAAGGATTTTATAAACATAATATAACAACATAGTTAACAAACAATATATTTTCAGTATTATACATATTATTTCAGTCTTGCTAAAAAAAACTAAGTAATAGAAATAGCACAATGCTATATGAGTGTATCTGCCATCTATATTATTTGTTTAGTTTTAATGTTATAATTTTTAAAATCCAATATAAAAGTTGAAGTGACTGAACTACTTTTTACTTACAATGTCTAACAAACATATATCAATATTACTTACTCAACTAATGTAAAATGAAAATGAGAAAGTAAGTCATATAATAATTTGGACGTTGGTTGGAGTTTCCAATATAAGACTACTTATAAGATACTTGATAGGTTTTCAATCACCATAAAATATAAGGAAAGTAATATACTGAATACAAATAACTATCAGTGCAACAATTATTATGCTTACACAGTCAAACAAATGAATGTTGAAGTAAAATAACTAAAATGAAAACAAAATACTGCTGTCATAGATAATATGTAAAACCAATCTATTAATAGATGTAATAAAATACTTTCATACAGTCTTCTACTAAAGCCTGTAATAAATTCAATTTAACCATAAAGTGTATAAAATTTTATTTTACGTAGGATATATCGGTTGCAGTGGACAAATAGCGTAGAAGTGAAAGTGTAATAGTTAATACAAACAATTTAATAATAAATAATATTAATAATATTCTACATTTTAGATTCTGAGCGGAGCGAGGAAGCTAGTGGTTTTACAATGGTGTTTATTTATTTATTTATTTATTTTTATATCCTGTATACAAAATTTCTACCAGAAGGAATCCTTCGATTTCCACATATAGTATCTTATCTTTTAGCAAATGGGATCAAGATTGTACTTTAGAGAGGTAATTTTTCGATTTTATTAATAGTTATTTAATGCCACAGTAAAAACCACCGAAAAATTACGAAAAACCTCTAAGAGTTGGATTTTAATTTCTAACGCTTTGTTTATTACCATAGAAAAGAATAAAAAATTATAATATTATAATATAAATTCAACTTACATGATATAATAATTAATGACAATATAAAATATCTAGACTGACAAACAGTTTCCGCTAAGAATCGTTTTTCTTTTACAATGATAGAATATCATTGAATTCAAGTTTAATACAATCCATTATACATTGACGTACTTGGAATCTACTGTACAGCAGAGCGACATCCACTTACCTACTTTTTTAATAATTCAGATATATTTATAATTAGTAGTAAAAAGCCAAGTTCCATATTTATTATAAACTGATTAGGTGGATAGGTACAACTATGTTTATAATAAATGTTATGACATTATTTTAATTGATACATTTTTTTTTTAAGATTTTGTATGATATTAAATTTTGGTCATATAAGCTTATTACTTTGGAAACCAAACAGTACAAATAAAATTTTTGTATTTATTATTTGGAAATATGCCTTTACAGCATCTAATTCAAAATACATAATTTAGGTGACCAGTTAAATTTGTTGATTATAAACAGTATATTAAACTATATTAAAACTATTTATAATCAATGGTACTAGTATAGAGTAGGTACACGACAATCATGTAATACTTATTTATAGTACAGTCAATTATAATTACCTAAGAATAATATAAATAATGTGAAATAGGTAGGTATACTAATATTTTAATACATACATATAATTGTGTGCCTTTATAGTATGTTTGTTGTTTATAATTGTGGAAATCAGTATTAAAAAAGGATATAAATCATAACTGGAACGGGTAATGCAACTTTTCCAATTTCATCATCGATTCTCATAATTTTTTTAATCCTTCCCTAAATAAAAAAAGGTACTTAAGTATACAATTAGTAAAATATAAACAGCTTGAATTAGACAATCTAAATATTTAAATATTTTGCAAAGCCTAGTGGCAAATAGGTTAGAGCAATTAAGTTTTTCTAAAGCAAAAATCAATTTTATACCAGTTACTGTTAATGAACCACAATTTTAAGTTATTTCATTAGCTCTCAAAAACAAAAATATTTCTTATCAATACATGATAGGCAGTTGCCCTCACTGACGTGTATCTTAAAAAAATTGGTGTTGTTCAAATAGTTGTAGGTGACCCCCTCATAATATTGTTATACCGACCTATAAAGTGTTGTATTTTTCTTCAATATATACCCACCCACCTATATAAAAAACTAGCTTTTGTTTGAGCAACACTTAGGACCTGTGGTAAACGTCACTGGTTGACCTTAAAGAAAGAATTGATAATTTATACTTACAGCTGGAAATCTAGCGTTGTACTTCCTCTTTTTACTAGGCATTTTTCTATATTGTGAAATTCGTTTGTTTTTTTCGATTGTGATGGTAAAAATGTTGAGTATGTTATTAGAAAGCTCTGTCTACAAGATTTACAAAAAAATTAAGATTAAAAGTGACCATTTTTATAATGGAAATGAAACAAGACACTGCAAAGATTGTTAGAAATTATTATTACAAAATTATTAAAATTATTTTATGAATAATATACAGGAGTATAGGATAGAACAAATAATATAGATTATTTATTTAATCTATCAAACTCTTATATAAAATTGTCCCGAGAATAGAAGCAACAATAACAATACTGATAACAAAACAAACGGTATTATCAGGTGATTTGTTTGTCCTAAATGATACATTTTAGTTTTTAGTTTTATGTCAACTACTATAATATTATAGTCTTAAAAAGCCTGCACCTTTATTCGCTAAACCGACTGAAGCGTCAATAGATGTTAATTTCTACTCAAAGTGTATCTGAAATTGAAACCATAAAATCGTGAGAATTGTAACGAGCAAAATCACAATACAAAAGTAGGAAATAAAACGTTCAACAAATAGTAGAAAGAAAACACGTCACTACATTAATATTTAAGTCATTCATTCATACCCAGTAAAATCGCAATTCGTTACATCTGCGTGTTCACAACATGACAATTAAATTTAAAAAAAGCGAATTTAAGAAAAGTGTTAAAAAAACTGAATTTCGTAATATTATCACAGAATCTGAAAAACTGAGAAAAATGTATGTTATCTATGCTAATGTGGCATTGTGGCGGGACGCAACAATATTATAACCTTAGATCATAATAATTTTACAAGTTAAAATCGCGGTTAAACTACTATCTATGACTGCAGAGAACACTGATAACTGTCAACTGATGAAGAATGATTACTTTCGTACAAAATCGTGCTTTTTGACTCGGGAAATTCAAATTTGCTTTTTAATTGATTTTCTTTTGTCGACAGTTTGGTCAACCTTGTTACGGTAGTTCCTATTCCACTGTAATCGAGTAAGTTTTTGTAACTTCTGAGTAACTTCTGACTTTCATCACACCAACGGCTGAATACCAATCCTATAAAATATTGGAAATCTTGGTTTTTATAGATTTAAAATCCGTCTAGATTTATGTACAACTAATCGAAGATTTATGGTGTCCAATTAATATATACGTTTTTTCTATTTAATTTATGACAATATTTATGCTAGGATATTGTGGCCATGCACAACAAGTAACCAAGTTATCAACTATGAGCTACTTAAAATTTGGCATGGCTTTGTATGTAGTCAAAAATATTTTAATACCCTGCAGAATACCGAATATGAATACTTCACAATCAATAGCTATTCATAGTTAAACCAACAACATAATACAATTTTTTTTGTTTTCTTGTTTATTAGGTATCTTTTAAAATATCCAATGACAAAATATGGTACTTTCCTGTTATACGAAACCACAACTATTATCACGACTACCACCCAAGACTAACTCCATTATTACGACTACCACAATAGCTGAACGATATTATTTTTTTTATATAATTAAAATTACTTAATTCAAATGCAACCATCCCTATAATTATTTAGTATTTTATTTGTGCAATTTTTGGTCGTTTTAGATAACAGATTTAGTCTTTGGCGGTAGTCACAATAATAGGCTTAGTCTCGTATAACCGGAAATTAATCAAAATATACTTCCCAAACATTAGTGCTTATAGGTAAATAACAAATGAAAAGTTTTTATTTTTTATCATTGCTTTTAACATAAATTAAATGTTCAACTCCGTGGCATAATGGGGGGGGGGGGGGGTCCGACCCAAGATAATACAATAGTACCGGCCCATTTACTAATTTACCAAATATTGAATTTTAGCCAAATGTACTACTATATACATCCATACAAGCTTTGAACAGCTTATGTTTACAAGTAAATGATTTGAATTCTTAATGTAACAATATTTTTATATTTAATTAGAAATCTTATTCAATAATAGTGTGCTTTTAGACTAAGTATTTTCATAATTTCATCATTATCTATTTCGTATAAAACATTTTTTTTTAATGCTATGAGCTGAAAGCTCACTACACTACAAGCAGAAAATCAACTACCTAGATCTATGTATATCTTTTTATTTCATTTTTCTATTTTTCTAATTTCATAAATTAATATTTGAGCTCATTTTTATTAAAAATTTAGTATTATCTACCAATCTATGTGATTGTATTATTTTAGGTACATTTTAGCATTTTATTTATAAAAAAGTTTTTCTACATTTTTAAAATTGAATATTTTTACCTAGATCTGTTTATCAATATATCAAATTTATATTAAAATATAGATTTATATTAATTGCCTGTGCAGTTATATACAGCAAATTAAATGATATTCAGTCATTAAAACAGTAAAGAAGTAACAACTATTCCAAAATTGGTTTTTTTTAAAGATAAAAAAAAATACATATTATTGTAAAGTAAACATTGATAATATTGTGAAATAATACATTGTAGAGCAAAATATTTTATCTAATCTTCAACAATTAGGGTGGTTTTTAAATAGGTAGCTATGTAAATGTTATAACTAGGGCTTGGAAGTTGATAAGTTTTTATAACAATTAAGAAATAACTTCGGAAATAACATAAAAAAATTCAAATACTACATAAAAATGACAAATAATAGTTTAAAATTAATAAAATA